TAAAGGACAGAAAGAGGGTCACACCCTACCCCTTGTAGCTTGCTGTCTTGCTGCTTTCTGCCTGCCTTGAACTGTTTCTCCTGCAATGCTCCTCTGCCAGGCTGCCTGACCTTCTAGCCAGTCAATTATGAACTGAAACCGCTACAAACTACGTGCCTGAGGAAACCTTCCCTCCTTTAACTTTGGGTGCCAGATGTTTTGTCTCAGCAGCAAGAAAAGTGACTGAAAGTCTTTTGGACTGTTTATTTCCAGTTAACTTTTTTAATCTACTTGATGAATTTTCTTGAAAGTTTAATGTGTGCCTCCTTCTTTGTTTGAACTGGTTTTCCTCAGGTTTTCCTTTGAACTGTTTATTTCCCTAAGTTAACTTTTTTAATCTACTTGATGAATTTTCTTGAAAGTTTAATGTGTGCCTCCTTCTTTGTTTGAACTGGTTTTCCTCAGGATTTCACAATTAATGATGTTAACCTGGGCCTTCAGGATTACAAAAATTGTCACCTTATTCATCAATTAGATTTAATCCACACATGTTATATGATTTTGGAGAATGTAGAAAAACAATGTAGAAAAATTGTGTAACAAATTCACAAACATGAAACCTTGACTTTTCTTTTTTTCTCTTTCTCAGCTGAGGTCCAGATACTTAGGTGTCCCATATCTAGAGAAACTCAACTAGCCTAAGAAAGTTATTTCTCAGGCCAGCAATCTAGCCAGACCATCTAGAAAGCTGTCCTTGAGCATCAAAGATAGCATGATATTTCTTCATGGATCTTAGAAAGTACATATTTGTCAGAGGGCAGTGGCACGCAGAAACAGCAAAACTACCTTAGGATTTGGAGGAAGATTTATTTATATCAGCAGGTACTGATTACGATCATTCCCAGAATTTCAGGCCCTTATTTCTGATGGTCTAGGGCTTATATGAGATAAGCAAGCAGAAAGTACAGAGACAGACTGGCTTGTCAATTCAGGATTGGCTTATACAATGTGCATCACAGTGACCAGCTGTTTCTAAGAGTCAGAAGCAACCTGATCTGGAACAGGAGCTACTATCTGGGCAACTAACAAACTGAAATATACTGGTTTGGGTGGGCAGATTTCTGCTTAATTTCCACCTTCTGTTAGTTTCCTTCACAAATCTTCGCTGTGTGTGATATGTGTGTTCTTCTGAGACAAGGACCGTCTAGAAACAGTAACATTAGCATTATCAGTGATCCTAGGATGGGCTCTAGCCAAGCTCCCCCAGATCCTCTCATTACAGTTTTTCCCTAAGTTACTTTTAGAAAGCGATATAATTTAGATCTGATGTTCTATAACATTACTCTAATAAGGTAGTAAGGGAGTTACTCTGATCTAGGAGAATGTCCAGTGTGCCTCAGATGCTCATAAAATCTTTGTCAAATGTTTGATTGATTGTTTTATTCTCTTGGTGCAACTGTCCATAGAGTTGAAAGCAGAAACCACAGCTAAGGAGGATGAGGACTGGGGTAAGCAACCTGAAAAGACACAAAAATCAAGGGGAGTAGGTAAAGAACAATCCTGTGAACAATGTCCTCAGGCTTCAGTCATGCCTGGACAGGTCAACATACATTGTCTCTTCAGAGTGAGCCTTAGAGGAACCAGGTAAATTTTTCAGCAGATCTAAGGCTGGATTTCTGACATTTGTAGAGACAGTTCATATATACCTGAGTTGTGTGGGTTGCAGGAATATCTATAGACATAGCTGGTCTTTTAACTGGCTATAAGTTGTTTTTTTGACTTTTCTAGCCTTTGTGGTCTGTATGCTGTATGCACTTTTTATCTAATCTAGTTTTTGTGTTATCTCTATTACAAATACAGGTCCATTATTGCTGCTAAGGATCAAAGGCAGGCCATATCTAAGGATGATTCTTTTCAACAGGTCCCTACAAACTTTTGTTGTCTTTTCAGTATGTGTAAGGAATGGGAGGTCAGGTTCAGACACACAGACACTGAAACCTGAGCTGGCTGCAAGGGTGCAGGTGCCAGGACAATGGTTTGAGCTTGCAGAACCTATGGTGGGTACTGGTCTTGTGGCTAGGGTTGATGTTTCAGTCAGTTGGATCCCTAGAGGGGGTTTAGGCCTCTGGATGAGATTAGTCATTGTTGGCAGGTTTTCAAAGCATGCAGATCATCCCCAAAGGAGAGTTTCAGCCAAAAAAATTTTGTCCAAGGTGACCACAGCATATCCAGGCTGTCCGACTTTATTCCTAACAGAACTACCTCCATCTGTAAACAGGGTATAGTAGGCCACTGTCAGGGGGTCCATTTTTAGAACAATTCATCCCAGACACGTGGCACCTGGACACTTAGGTCTTGTCAGCTTTCTTGATCAGAAGAACAGTTGCTGTTAGAGCGTGGAGGCAAAGTGGGGAGGCAGCCCTAGGTAGCTAAATCTAAGTATTTTCACAGGTAGGTCACTGGACACTCCCGGGGGCTGACAGTCTGAGTAAGCATAACTGTTTTTGTGAACTCAAGGATCTAGATTTTATAGAAGCCAGCAGCTCCAAGAAAACTGTGGAGTTCTTTTATTTTCTTGTAACTAGCTTCTGCCAGATATTGTAGTAGAGCCTTTGTGCCTTTCCAGCAGGAACACTATTCAGAAGTGTTTTTTTCAAAGAGGAAACAAGTTTTTGAAACTTTGGGAGGTTGAGTCCAAGTCAGTTAACCTTTGAGTGCAGAACTGGGGACTCTGAGAAGAGGACTGGCTGAAAGGAGCCAATCAAAGGCAAAAGAGAGCATGTTTTAGGTCCAGGCAGATATATCTGCAGGGTGTGGGTGACAGAAGACTGAAACAACATATGCAGAAGATTATCATGGCAGCATTAGTAGGTTGGAGATTTTGAACTGGCTTTATAGGCAGGAGAGGTGTATTTCACCAATTTGACAGTCTATAAACATTTTGCAGTTCTGAAACCTCTGGATATATGGTTGAATTTCTAGCCAAGTCTATTATGGCATGGGATACTGTTTGATGCAAGTGGGGTTTGCCCCAGGATGAAGTTTCACAATCAGAGGCAGGTGGTCTATGGCCCAATCTCAGGGCCTAGGGAGCTGGGAAGGCCAGAGAAACAGGCTGTCTCCGAGTGGCCAAATCTGTTGTCAGAGGTTCCTCCAAAATAGTGGGAGAATTCCCAAACCCTCGTGCATGGCTTGGGAACCACTGAATGTAAGGTGATTGCTGCATTGTTGATGGCACAGAGATCTTGCCCAAGGTGATTAACAGTCTATAGGGCTGATGTGTGGCTGGATGCCCATTTGTGGTTCCTGTGACATTTGACAGGAATGCGGTTTCAGAACTTGAGAACTGCGGTTATTTGTCTCAACCTGATGCAGGTATCTTTTTCTCCGGGAACAGTCAAAGTTGAAAGTGCAGGGTTAAATGAAAGAGAGACCTACTGTCTTGGTGTGAAGATGTCTTCTCAGGCTGCAAGATTGTGGTTGGCAGAAGGGGTGAGAGGCAAGAGTCCAAGTTGCCCTGGTGATGGTAACATTTTGACAGAAGGAGCATTTGAATGTTCCACTGTCTACCAGGAAAGTCAAGGGTTTGCCCCTGACTTTTGCAATGACCATGGGCTCTCAGGGGTACAAATTGATAGAACTTAGTCTGTCCTATCTATTTATGCCTGATTGGGTGCAACTCATTTGTCAGGGCATACCAGTCGAATTTCCTTCAGTCAAAATGTGGAACTTAGAAGGAATTGCTGACAGTTGTCTCAGGTGGCCATCAGAGGATATCATCTGATGAGGATCTGTGCATCTCTGAGCGGAATCTTGTGGCCCAACACAAGCAATGGCTAGCTGGAACCAGTTCAGTTGCCTAGAAGTGGCTAAGAGGGAGCCAAGGCAGAATTCTCAGGAAGAATGGGTCAAGTTTTCCTTTTTTCTTTAAGATGCATGGAGTGGTTTTGTTTCATTTTTAACTGTATAAAAGTGCATTTTCTTACAGTTAGGGACAGTGAGCTTTGACTAATTCTCATCTATGACTTCCTATGTGTGTGTTGTATGCCCTTGAACATGGTGCAACGGAAAAGGGTGGGTGCCTTTCAGAGAGAGACCATTCAGATGTCCACCTGGCCACTCCCCTCTTGGGGATTTAGGCACAACTTAGTTATGGAGGATGTGTGTCCTCTGTTATGCCATATAATGATTGCCACAGAACCACAGGTGAGGGCCCAATCAGCCACCTCCACTAGGGCATCCCAGTCTTGGTGCACAGATGGAGCAGCCTGTTGCTTATGCTGTCTGTTCCACTCACTCACACATTCATTCCGCAGGCACTCAGATGTTGAACATTCCAGTTCCCTTCCACTGACTGTGTCCTTAACTAACAAGAGTTGATCAAACTCTTCTTTTGCTCAAACTGAGAAGGACTGACAGGCAAACTGCAGTGCCTCTGGGAGGTCTTACTGGAATCAAGTAGACAGACAGACAGACAGACAGACAGACAGACAGATTGTATCCTCCTCCCTTGGGATCTGATGTGAGCCACTTGGGTGGATGGCTCAAGAAAGGGAGATCCGCCAGATGCACTAGGGAAATGGAGAAATGTCTAAGGCACACCTTCCCCTCAGGACCTGGAGAGGTCCTTGCTTCATCTGCAAAGGCCACAACCTGACTAAAGAGGTCAACGTGGCCAGTCTTCCCTGCCAATGCACCAGATGCAATGGAAAGCAGAAACACTAAAACAACACCCAGGATTTGGAGGCAGATTTATTTATGTTGACAAGCAGTGATTATGATCATTCCAAAAATATCAGTCTCTGATCTCTGGTGGTCTATTGCTTATTTGAGATAAGCAAACAGAAAGTACAGAGGTAGAAGAACTTGTCAATTGGGGACTGATTTTTACAATGTGTGTCGTAGTGACCAGCTATGGATCACAATGGCCAGTTCTTTCTAAGAGACAAGAGCAACCAGAATTGGAATAGAACTGTTACCTGGACAACTAAAACTGAAGTATACTGGCTGGCAGGGGATATTTTCTGCTACAAGTGTCTGTTCTGGGGTATTAGTCATCAAGCCTTAGAAAGAATTCTGGAATGGTTCCAAAAGACAACCAAGAAATAGTTCTTTTGAAAAATGAATTAGGTAAGATGTTTGGGAAAGAAGTTCAAGGAAATACTATTTAAAGAAACAGAAGTTCTTTGAAAATATAAACATGGTTTCAGAACAAAATGATAGGCATTATCATTGGTTGATATATTACATATTTTTAATCTTCATTTTGTTTTTGTCTATGTCGGTGGTATTTGGTACTGTTCTTTTTTATTATCATTCTCTTGTAAATAAAAAATAATTAAAAATATATAAACATGGGTTCCCCATACAAAAAGGGTTGACAATGGCTTCAAGGTGATCCATTATTCATATCCTAGTGGTTAAAACTAAAGATCCAACTTTAAGAGCAAGTTTAAAACTTCTGCAGTAATTAAAATGGATTACAGAAAATCTAATTCAGAAATGTCTAAATCAGAATTTCTTTTCAGAAAGATCTTAATTTCTAGAAAACCCACTTCGACTCAGTTTCTACTACTAAAGTGTTGCATTTCTACAAGCAAATTCCTGCTAATTTCAATTCCACTGAGAAGTAGAATATGTCTCCCAAAATAAACTCAGAATTACTTTCATATTTAAACAAATATACCCAGCTTTATGTAATATATCAAAAGAAATGCATTAAAACTGTTATAAAACAGTTAAAGCTTAAAGCTAAATGCTCAACAGCAAGGAAGAAAACAAACTTCAAAGTTATGATTGGGTTTATGCCCAGTTCCTGGAATGGTTGTATATTAGATACACACACACACACACACACCATTTTATTAAATATATACATTATATATATATATATATATAAATTGTTCCAT